AATTATCATCTCAGGTTTACCTGTGGTAGGGTCAATATCATCTCCATGGTGCATTGTAGAGATAAGTAGGACGTTTCGATTTTTTTTTGGCATATGCGAAACCAAGGTGATTCCGTCATTAAATCCAAACATTGAAGAGCCAATACACCTTCCGTTATTTTGTATAAATTCTAATGGCAACTGTTTTTTATTTTTTCGAATAGTACCCACTAAAGTTAATTTTTTTGATTTAAGGCTATCAGCTAGAGGCACACTACAAAACCAATTATCTACAGTAACATTCCTATTACTCCCATAAATGTGTGCACAAAGTCTTTCTACTACGTCTTGCGTCGAAGTACTAACTTGAAAAGGGCCATTTGGTTGTTTTCCGACGTAAACTTCTAAGTGGCTGGTATAGAATTGTTTTGCATCGGAAATGGCAAAAATTTTTATACCACATTTATTCGGCTTGCTAGGAATATATTGTCTGAAACTACAATTTCCTCTAAAAGCTTCTAGTTTCTCATCTATGGTAATATAACCAGAATGAGAATAGCATTTTTTAATGTTGCTGTTAAATTTTTCTAACAATGTTCGTATTGGAGCCAGTTTATTTACCTGTATTCTTTCATGTCTCGTGTGAATGTTATCAAATCGCAGACATTGCAAAAGAAATTGAAATCGAGGCTTACTCATTACAAGTCGAAAAGTTTCAATGCCAGTGCCATCTGTTCTCCAGAAATCCTCTAAATTCATGTGATTTGCTTTTCTAATACCAGCAAGATAAAGGAGACCAATTAGGGCTTTGATTTCGACAATGTCGGTAGGTTTCGCATCTCTTTGTCTACTGTAGTCATCTGTAACACTCTGAATTTTTATATTTGTACAGTCAACAACTAGATTTAGCATTTCTTCATCAAAAATGCAATTCCAGATGTCAATAGGTGTTGAGTGAGTTTTAACAAATTGTTTTATAGCTGGCAATCGTACAAATATATTGATACTGCGTGTTCTTACATTCTTCGATGGACAATGTTTTTTCCACTTTGTTAATTTATCTTTACCCATAAAGTACGGCTCCCTTCTGAAACTAACATTTTCTTCCTCTGTTTGATCGGCTTCAAATTCCTGTTCAGTATCACTACATTCAGATCGTTCTTCTACATGGTCAATTTCATTTTGTTGATCATCATCTTCATACGTTTCCTCGTCAGTCGATACTTCCTCAAATAATTTTATTAATCTCTTTTTCTCCTTCTCGTAATCCATATTCATATATCTATAAATATACAAATATATAAACATTGAAAATAATAAAAAGAACTTAAATCACCTTGCAGAGTAAAACTTTCAATGTCTGATCCAAAGCACAAAAATGTGTCCACAATACTCGCACCCGGTGTACCGGACCGTGTTGCCTAATAATAAAATTATAATGCTCTTTTTTACACTACACACAGACTTCAACGATAAGTGACCGACGACTGAAGAGGTACATGAAGCAGCAATTTCAAATCCTCATTTCAATCAGAGTTACTTGAAATTATTTACAGGGCCGGTCTCATACACCGTGCGCGAATAACGGAAGGTTAACTAATGTTCTTGAGGTCAGTAACCGGTTGCTCGTAACCGATACATTTTAAGACGCTGAAAATGCTTTTCCAATATACGTATACGTCAGTGAGAAATAAATAGCATTGACGCTGGTCTTTTTACCCGTTAAGATGCTACAACAAAAAATAATAGAGTCTAAGAAACAATACTCATATATCCAAAATAAAAATGGAATAGGTGGTAAAGACCAAGGGTATTTAAGTTTTCAACTAAATTTAACTGATTGGATATGTTTTCAGATTGTCAATATTAGGTTCATGAAAAGCATGAGTTTTCAAATGTGTGCACAAATTCTATACAAATGGTTTTTGGGCAACTCGGTTTCATACAGTGGGCTAGACTGTGACCCCTGAGATAATTTTTGTTAGCGAAGCTCTATTATAAAATTGTTGTGTCTACATGTATTTTTGTGAGAATATAGCACATTCCAAAATTATGTATTGTAAAGAAGAAGCACATGCAACATTAGACATTTACTCAATGAAGAAATACGTTTGTTGGTTATGTTCATTTAACACATATTAATAGCTTGACTGTTTAAGGTAGAGGTAGAAAGATGTTCTCAGAACTATCCAACCTATTACAGCCTCATTTAAATTATATCATCTAATATTTTATTCTTTTAAACGAAAACAAAAATTCAGAGTAAGTTTGAAGTGAACTTTGACATTGAGACCTTTAAATTGAAAGTATTATAATAACAGCATTCAGTGCTCTCCCAATGTCAAATAAATACCATAATTACCAACATAGCTTCTATCAATTTCAAACTTAAGCTTTTTTAAGAGTAGTTCCTTACTCTCGACCATAGTAATTTTTGTGTGGTGGTCAGTTGGATTCTACTAGCACATCTTTTGCATTTTGATCTGACTGTCTCGTTTAATTCAATGATATGTGTGATATTAAGGACACTTAAAAGAATAAAAAGGTATCAAAAATATGTACATAATTTTGTAATGATCTATACTGATATTTATATGTAAATGAAAAACATCTTTGTCTTCCTAAAATTATGACACGGGTCCAGTTTGAGTTGCTTAAAAATGACAATACAAAACAGATTGTGTGGAATAATATAAGAAAATATTAGTAGAGGTACATATATCTATTATAAGATTTATATTCATTTTCAAATGAAAAATTTGTAGTCTCAAATTTCAATGAAAAATTTAATGAAGTATCGCGTTTATTTAGTGCGATAGGTAGGAAAACATATCAGTATGAAGAAATTAGAAAGTGGATTCATTGTAAATACTTATTTAGCATCCTAAGTGTTGTCGATTCGCTATCACACGGCACTTAAAATGAATATAGAGATACCTGTATACACTCACCGACAAAATAGATCTACCTATATTTTTTTCTAAGTTTTATACGCATTTTTTTAATTCTTGATGTTCTGGCGATTTTTTTGTGTGTAGGTTATTTAGTCAAATTGCGATTCTTTTTGACAAAGGTTTTTTTTCACGACAGTTTTTATTGCCTTTACTGGTATATCTCCAATACTCTCGACATATTTAATCCTAGATTCAGACACTCTGACTCATCAAGTGAATTAAAATAAGGGTGCTGTATGTATATAAGTAGATGTTTTAAGCAGAAAATCCGCCCCACAAATAATGTTTACAGAGAGAAGTACGTCCGGTACATGTGTAAGAGTGAGAATAATATATTATGTTGACGGCCCTAATATGACCGCCGCAATTACGTTGAAGGAATCTACATTACCGACTGTCATATTTCAACTTTTATCCGCTAGTCGTCACTTGTTGAAGAAGTATTGACATTTGACAGCTAAGGAAAACAAGATTTGACAGACGGAAAATAAGAAGAATGTTGACAGACAAGAAGAATATTGACAGACAAGAAGAATATTGACAGACAAGAAGGCGATTTGACAGCTAAATTAGGATTAGCGAATAAAAGTTGAACTATGACTGTTGGTAATGCATATTCCTTCGAAGTAATGGCGACGCCCATATTGGGCCGGGATTTGTGACGTCAACATATATCTTTCTCACTGTTACACATGTAACGAAGGTACTTATATCTCTAACACATTGTTTTCCCTATGTGTTGTGGAATCTCCCTAGAACATCTACTCTATATATATTTGAAGAAATTGAAGTCAAACTTAAACCAAGTGGACTAGAAATCACCAAAAGAAAATTAAAATTTATGTCAGTAGATAATATAAATAAGATATAAAGTTTTGCCAAAAAATATATTCACAAAAAAGGGGAAAAGACAAAGTTGGAGATTAACGGCAACGGTAGGGCCAAACAAGGAGAAATGGAATTTGTAGAATAGGTTAATAAGAAAACTACTAGAACAGAAGATATAAATCGGCAAAAAACATGGATGAATACAAACATGATTGGAAATGGCAACACATAGTAATAAAAGAATAGACGATAGATAATGTGGTATGAGTATGGAGAAGAGTGAAGGTAATCCTTTAATAACGAAAACGGATTGGATACCTCTAGTTGAAAGAGCAAGAAGCAAATTGGACATGTGATGGAAGTAATAAGTAGAAAACTTTAAAAATATGAAAATACAGGAACAATTGTAAAATAAAAGCCAATACGTTGATGACACGGAGGTTTGCATCTTAAATAAAATGTGTGTGATTTAATTGTTGCTTTAATAACATTTTTTGAATTTACTAAGTTGTTACAAAATTTTAAAATTAAAACCACTAAAGTTCGAAGTTCAATGTACTCAAAGTTTTGATTCATATTTAAATTATTGGTTAATAAATATTCTCTAAACTCAAACTAAATGTAATGCTGCTTGAATTTGTTGTATTAAAAGCGAACGAGACAAAAAATATTTTAAATCTCAAAATTTTCAAGTAGCTTCAAGTTTACTAAGATGAATTTATACTTAACTGTGAGCCAAAGGGAACACTTTTTACTTGAAACTTGAGTAATCCCAATTTTTATATAGTCATTAAGGGGTAACTACGAAGACAATTTTTCATTTGTAAATGATCGTTTTTTCCAAGGTGTGGACCCACCAGTTGCTCAGATTTCCCCAAAATATTTGTGCAAAACAACCAGGAAACTAATTCTCTGAGCATCTGGTTTCATCAGGACTGCTCAAGAATTTTTTGTATATAGCTTCTTTGATCTGGCACTTTATATTTTCTTCCGTTAAAAAATAACTTAAATTGGAAAATGTCATATTATATATAAATGTTTTACTTAAAGAATATTTTTAAAAACAAGATCCTGTTAGCAGAATCTACTTCCCATAAATTCACATTTCCAATTTAATTTTACGTTTTATCGAAAGAACATCCACCACTATCAAATATACATATTACCACAGTACTCTACATTGCGCATTTTTATTTTTGTTTTTGCCTTTTTTCCTTATCCTTGATGTTGCTCGTGCAGAAGAAGAATGGGAGAAAGAGCTAGAGGCTGAGCTCCAAGATTACGAGATGGTCAGTGAGCAGAAATCAACCAATTCCAAGAGCGACAACTGGGAACAAGAGATAGAAGAAATGCTTCAGGACGAGACTGATTTGAAGTGAATTTTCTTTTGGTATTTTTCATACTCTGACTGATATGTTATATAATATACATTCTGGAACTAGTTAGGGCCTATTTTATGGTGAGTAAGGATTGTGAGATACATTCCAAACTGGTTATTTAACATCACAGTGTTATTTAAGAAAAAAGATCCAAAAGATTTATTTAACTTTTTCTATAAGTAAACTTATCTTCAACGATCCTTCAGCTGTTATTTTAATTCTTTAAAATAAGATTTATGAAGAATATCTGATGATTTGGACATGATTCCAACTGTTAAACTCGAGCTTACTGCCAAATTAAACATTCCAAAATGCCATATATATATACAAATATGGCATTCTGCAAGCCAGCAGCAAGTGTTGAGTTTGTAATACAAGTTGACTGACAAATGGCGAAAATGTAATATCAAGATCATCTAATATCAACAATTTATTTGTATTATAACTCAAATGATTGAATATAGAAACGAACTCTGATTGATAACATAGCTAAATAGTTGTTCATGAGAAAATTGATAGTTCTTCATGGTGAAGTTGAGAATACAGCATCTATGGAGGATGAAATATTGTGATAGGACTTGGATGGTCATACTTTCCAAGGTGTCTTGGTTAATGCGAACTCCAAACAGTGCTTCCCACTATATGTTTACATGAACGTATACTAATAAGCAATGCACTGGAAAATAAAAGACACTTAAGTAAAGTGCGAGTAAGATATAATTTTTTAATTTTAGCTGTAAAATGCAATGTAGATATATTTGAAGCTTTTGGAGGATAAACTCGTTATAATTAAAGTTTATTCTTTGCTTTTAGTATCCAATAATAACCAGTAATGGAAACAGGTATTTTCTAAAATGGTAAATTAAGATAACTTTATATTCCCAACTCGATATTTAAACGCATAGTATAATTTGTTACTATATATCAGGTTGCTGGAAATATTTATTAGTGCATTATAATGGTGATGGCAATATTTAAAGTACTTAAAGGTCATACAATCTAATCAAATTTTTGTAATAATAAAACATTAATATACAAACTTCGATCTATTCGCCATATGTCTGAACATATTGTGTGTCATTGTGATCCACTGAACATCACTTATATACCCATATTAGTCCTAGTTTACTACTTAGCCAGTTCTATTAGTTATTAGCCTTAATTCTATTGTCTATAAGTAAGATACTTCCCTATTTTAGCTTTAAACTAAAGAAACCATTTAAACTTTCTTTCCAGACCTAGATCCAGTTGCTTCTCCCAGCTTTTATTTGTTTGCACAAACCTTTAGGTACTCCAGAGAAGCGCTAGGCAGATAATACGATTTTCCAAGTTTGGCAAGTCGATCTGCCATTTTATTTCCTTTATTACCCTCATGATTTGGTACTCACATAATGGTAACTCTATTCTATGTGTCGAGTTACTAGACCGACTGAACACTGTTCCAGAATAAGTTAGGTGTATATTTAGAATAGTTAGATTATATAAAGTTTATTTGCTATAAAAAAAGATAAATTTTTCAACATTTAAAACGCTTCATGGTAATTGCTTCGGCATATTCTGTTATCGCTGTGCTCTCTGCCTGAAATATGGCCATTTTCCCTCCTAGAGTTTTGAAGAGAGCAAATCGAGGTTTTTGTACTCCCAGGTCTATCCATCCATTCATAAATCTTTGAAAATAATTCACTCTTTTTAGTTATGGAAACAATAGTGATTCTATTTTTCAAGATAATAATTTAATCTTCTGAAACAGAAGTATTGAATCTACAAGTTATATAGACTAGTGAATAGAGCCAGTAATTTGTATCTAGTATAATTTTGAAGTTTGAATGTGTAAGAGTTTATTTTTATTTTAGCCATATGAAAGATATAATAATTGTATTTTTCGTACTTATTTGTGATAACTTCTTAATCTACGCGATATAGGGTCTACACCTTATCTATATATATATATATATATATATATATATATATATATATATAATATATATATATATATATATATATATATATGTATATTTATATACATAAATGTATAATACGTATTTTAAAAAAATAATGTGTCATTTATACATAATGCATTTCCAATTGCTATATATGCTGTTTTCGGTGTCTTCTGTTAAGTTATTTTGATGTCTTTATTCTGAAGACCACTGAAGTCTCAAGTCATAGACGTTTGGGGATGGTTTTCCAAAGAAAGATCGATTCGCATGTAAAAAATTACCTTCAAAACTTTTACTTCAACTTTGTTAAGTAATATGTTAGGAATAAGTTTAGCAATACTATACAAACATCAAATATTAATAATTTTATTATGTTATTATATAATTTTTATTCCTAAAAGGACTTGCGAATGAAAGTATTTTTTAAAATCAAGTAACAAATTAATTCCTTATACTGAATCCATATACATTTACGAAAATAGTCTAAGACAATTATTAATAAAGAAATTTAGAGAGTAATTTAAAATTTCAGTTTTGTATTATCTGCGGGGGGTTTCATAATGAGCAATGCTAAGTACATAAAGTAATGTTTCGGCAATAGTCGGTTGTATTCGTATTTATAACAAATATAAGGATAATATAAGAATAATTAGTTTATTTGGAAAAGATTATAACTGCAACCATTTCGCGTGAGGGAGATTTTAGTAGTCCACTAAATAAACTTAGCAGCAAAAATCCGCGTACCAAAAATTTTGTAGAAGTTTGATGTTTATGACTGTTACGATTTTCCTAAAGAAAATGGTAGAGGATTTGAGTATTGTTGACGCAAAACTGTTTCAAATGAATATATTCTTCAACTAAAATATTAATTAAATTTATTCAAAAATAAAAAAATTATTAAGTATTAAGCATGTTACAATTTTTGGCGGTTTTTTGCTGACCTGTTTATTCTTTATTGTAGTTCTATTATATTGTTTATTATGTAATTTTGTTAAATCTTTATATATAAATATAAATAAAAACTCTATGTAATTATTTGAACAGTGTAATATAGTATATAAATAGTTTGTTTTGTTTTAGAACGCTGTTAATAATTTACAATCTGTTAAGTTTCAAAACTGTTAGCATTATAGCATTTAGGATGTAGCTTTTCGTGTGTTAAGCATGTTCTCCTGTATTCTAATTGTTATATAACATACAGATTGTTAAATAAATGTAGCAAATGTGCCCACTCATATATAATTTTTGTTTTATTTACTAGCCTCGTACCCCATAATCCCCAAAAACCAAAATATTTCTTAAAAAGTATAAATTAAAACATTTGATCTAGAAATTATCCAATACTGATTTGATTACAGCTGAAATTTTGAAATAATCCATAAGAGCAATGACAAAAACTAGATATGTACATATTTAAGAAATGCATCATTCAGATTCAAACATATTTCTAGATGTTGTCAATTACAATGAGGCAGAGAAGTGGATAATTTCAGATATAGGAGAGAATTGGCACCTCACAGAGATAGACATACACAGTGTATTCTCGCACATCGCAGATGTATTTGCATGTTTTGTGGACTTCGAAACGGCATTTGATAAAGTACAGCATGTAAAATTAATGCGAATGCTGAAAAATATCTGAATAGATGACAAGGATATTCGTGTCATTAAAAATTTTGTACTGGAGTCAAACTGCTATCGTAAAAATTAGAGATAACTACACCGATGAAATCTCCATATAACGAGGAATCAGACAAGCTCGCATTTTGTCGCCAACATTGTTCAATGTTTTCGCGGACCAGTTATTTAAAAAGGCACTTGAGAGACAACCATATGAAATAAAAATCAACGGGGAACTATTTAATGTGATTAAATATGCAGACGATACGGTAATTCTGTCAGATAATATTGAAGGTCTCCAAATTCTGTTTGATCGTATTCAGGAGGTAGGAGAGGAAATTGCAAAGCTTTAATTAAACGGAGTACAAGTTGAGAAAGTTCGCATAATGACATTTGGGAACTGCGATAAGGGACCAACTAGATCCAGACATAGAAATAAAACGTAGAATAGCAATGACTAAAACTACTGCAATAATCATCTCAGTTTAGAACTAAGACAAAGAATGGTTAAGTGTTATGTTTGGTCCATACTTTTGTATAGTGCAGAAGTGTGGAAAGTATCGATCACGAACAAAATTGAAGTATTGGGAATGTGGGTTCATAGACGAATGCAGAAGATACCTTAGACAGCAAGGAAAACTAATGAAGAAGTACTAAGGAGCGTCAACAAAGATAGAGAAGTGTTTCTTCTTCTTAAAGTGCCCTCTTCTCAATGGAGGTTGGCTACTACAATTTTAAACTCTTCTCTATCTTCAGCTGTTCTTATTAGCTGTTCAAAATTTAGCCCTGTCCATTGTGGGACGTTTGAGCCCCGATAATCTTTTCCTTCCTAGGCCTCCCTTTCCCTCGATTTTTCCTTTCACTATAAGTTGGGCATATTGGTACTTATTATTTCTCAGTATGTGGCCTAGGTATGATGTTTTTCTAACTTTTACTGTGTTGAAAAGTTCTCTTTCCTTGCCTATTCTATGCAGCACTTCTTCGTTTGAGGTATGCGAGAGAACTGTTAAACATCGAAAAATGTCTTAATTTGGGACATATAGAAAGGGGAAGTCGATATAAAATACTACAACTGATCCTTAACGACAAAAAAGAAGGCCGTAGAGGTGTAGGAAGGAAACGGGTTTTTTGGTTGAGAAACATTCGTGAATAGACTCTGATATCAAATGCGGGACAATTATTTCATATTGCATAATATCGAGAAGCCTTCACAATGGTGATCGCCAACGTCGAATAATTTTGATATGGCATGCGAAGAAGAAGAAAGAAGTGTGATATCGAGAAAAGAAATAGATACAAATATAAGAATATACTCTAGCAAACAAAAAATGAAATTAGTCATCCAAAATGACGCCTCGTGACTGTTTGAAAATTGCCCAAATTACGTGTCAATCATGGAATCTCGGAAATTCGATCATTGGCGCCGTGTAAGAAAATATG